TAGCTCTCTTAGTTTGTCTAGTCCTACTTCGGTCTTTGGGGTTGATGCAGTAGGTACTAGCGGGGGTTTAGTAGTTTTTGGTTATGGTTTGGATGAAGTTTCTTGTGTTTTTTGCTGTACAAATGTAGTACTTTGTAATGTCAAGCTTACTAATGGAAATAGTAAATGCGTGATGTTTGTTTATGGTGATCCTGTTCTTGAAGATAGACCTCAGGTGTGGGCCTTGATTTTAGATTTACTTGCAATTGCCCCCAATTGTTTGATAATTGGAGATATAAATCAAATAGAGCATCACTATGATAGGTTGGGGGGGTCTAATATTATTAAAGGTTGTGATTCCTTTATTGATTTTAGATTGAAATCTTGTTTACTTGCAACTCCCTTTAAAGGTCCTCCGTATACGTGGACGAATAATAGGGATGATGATCAACTTATTTTACAGCGACTGGATAGGGCTTATATGACCTCTGATTGGTTTCATAATTATCCTGATAATCGGTTACTCAATCAACCGATTCTAATATCTGATCATGCTGCAATTTTCTTTGATGATTCTCCGTTCATTCAAATTTCGAACCGTCCTTACCAATTGGACAACTGGTGTTTGGAATTTCAAGACATTCATGACTTTTTTCTTTCTACTTGGCAATGCCACGTCAATGGCTCGCCAATGTTCGTTCTCTCTAAGAACCTGGAACATGTCAAGTCTCTTATTAGGGAGTGGTGTCTCAAAAATAAGAAATTTTGGGGCATTGATTGGAAAATTTTTTCGAAGGATCTTGCTACTGAGGGTGAGCTGGTTCATTCAATCCCTAATGCCTCTCGCTACATGACTAATATTGTTTCTTCAAAGGAAAGTATCTTATTGCAGCTGCAATTCTGGAGACAACGCTGCAAGAAAAACTAGATACTTAAAGGCGATTGTCCATCTAAACTTCTGTTTTCAAAGGTTAAAAGTCGACAAAAGAAGAACGAGATTAGTTCCTTATTTGACAACCAAGGAACTCTTCAGCATGGTCAGGCGAATGTCCAACGACTGGTAGTGGAATCCCTAAAAGATACTTTTCGATGTGATACTATGCCTCCTTATGACCCGGAAATTGATGTTGTTCTCCGAGAATTGGATCTTCCTCGATTCAATTCTTCTCAGCTTGCAAACTTGGATCGTCCCTTCTCTACTTCTGAGATTCGCACTGCTATGTTTTCTCTAGGGAACAGTAAGTCTCCGGGTCCGGATGGAATTACAGTCGAATTTTTCAAGTCCCACTGGGCTGTTGTCGGCGACTCGGTTGTTTCCGCCATTCAAAGTTTTTTTCACACAGGGTTCCTACTAAAAGAATGGAATCAGTCCCTTCTTGTTATGATTCCTAAGATTGGTACACCAACGGAGGTGGGCCATTTACGACCTATCAGCCTTTGTAATACAGTGTATAAATGTGCGTCCAAGTGTTTGGTGGCAAGGATGCGCCAATATCTTCCTCTTCTCATCTCAGATTCTCAGCATGCCTTTGTTCAAGGCCGCGTTATGACGGATAATATTTTGATGAGTAATGAGTTAATGGAGAAAATTAATTGTTCGAAAACTGGCACTAATTGGCTCGCTTCGATCAAAATGGATATGAGCAAGGCTTATGACATAATTCATTGGAGTTTTCTTCTGCAGGTTCTTAAAGCCTATGGGTTTCCAGATCGTTGGTTACAGATGATCCAACAATGCCTTGCCACGGTTTCTTACAAATCCTTGATTAATGGTGCTACTTCGGATACCTTTAAGCCACAATGTGGTCTTCGCCAGGGTGACCCCATCTCCCCATACCTTTTCCTATTCTGCATGGATATTTTCTCTCGTATGCTGCATTTAGGACAGGATTTGAAGCTTTTTCGAGGAATCAAGTTGTCTAGAAGGAGCCCTACTATCTCGCATTTATTCTTTGCGGATGATGCACTCATATTTTTTCAGGCCTCGACAACAGCCTGTACTAATATCATGCAGATTATTCAGCGGTTTACTAAGATATCAGGAGAACAACTAAACTTGTCTAAATCCTTGATTAAGTTTAGCCCTAATATCTGTGCGTCTGCTCAACAAGGCTTCAAATCTTTGTTCCAAATGAAGCATGTTCAAGTGTTCGACCATCATCTAGGTGCTCCAATTGATTTCGTCGGCATGAAAAAAGATCACTTTCAGTTTCTCATCGACAAAATAACTGGGCGAATTAATTGTCTAAATGCCATACGCCTCTCACAATCGCAGAAGTTAATTTTTATTAACTCCATCCTTATTGCTATGGCTTCCCATGTTCTCACTTGTTATGAATTACCCGTTTCTGTGACTGGGAAAATTGACTCCTTACTGTTGCGCTTCTTCTGGGCGCATTCTGATTCTAAAGGTATGCACTGGGTCAACAAGGATACCATGCACCTTCCTCGTGGCCTCGGTGGTTTGGGCATTCGCTGCTTGTCCTCCTTAAACAAGACGTTGCTCATGAAACAAGTTTGGAGAATCTATACTCACCCGCAGTTGCTAGTTTCTAAAGTTTTTAGTGCTCGCACGACCTTTCTCTCCAACACCCCTGATACTTCGCCGCGTTATTCTGGTCGCCACTCCTACGGCCTTCGGGGTTTGCTCAGGTCAGACACTCTGTTTAATTCCGGTTGTAACTGGAAAATTGGTAATGGCAAGTCCACTCTAGCTGGGTCAGCTAAGTGGGTTAATGGTTGCATTCCTGAGTTCAAACCAGGAATTCTCTTGCCACATACGGCCTCTCATACTGTCAGTTTTTTCATCAATCCTCAGACCACGGGTTGGGATACTTCTAAAGTTGTTGATTGGTTTGTTCCTGCGGATGCTTCGGCAATCCTGGCAATGGAAGCCCCTGATATGACTCAGGATGATTTCCGTTATTGGGCGGCTACCCCTTCCGGAAAGTTCTCAGTCAAAACTGGGTATGCTATGCTTCAACAACAACTTTCCCCTCCTTCTATACCTTCCGCCTCTAACTCTTTCTGGAAGGTTCTTTGGTCTCTTCCGGTGCAGCCTAAATGGAAGTTGTTCTTATGGAAACTGCTACACCGCGCTCTTGCGGTTAAGGTGGAACTCAATCATCGAGGAGTTCCGGTTCTAGACGTGTGTTGTGACCTTTGTCGTTCGGAACCGGAGGATCTACAACACCTTTTTAGAATGTGCTTCAATGCACGTTCGGTTTGGAGGGGTAGATGCCTTGGCATTCACTCAGAATTTAATGGACACCTTTCTCTCTCAGACTGGATCCAAGATTATATCCGACTTTTTATCAGTCAGGATGGTCTTTCTAGTACTCGCTTAGGTACCTTTGTCGGTACGCTTTGGGGCTTGTGGTTATATCGCAATTCCAGAATTTTTAGGGATTCGTCTGAGTCTCGGCCTTTTGAATCTTTGTTCCAGGAGGTGATGGATAATCATTCAATTTTTGTCAATTCAGATCCCCTAACTACAATCCCTACTATTGCGGCGTTAGATGGCGGTGCCTCTTCTCCGCCTGGTTTTTACATGACTCAGCTTGGTCTGAATCCGCAGGGGACTGCTTTACTTTCTCTTCAGTTAGATGGCTCTTGGTTCAAAGATTCTCGCCGCGCCGGAATGGGATGGTGCTTAGATAATGAGGACCCTCTGGATGCTCGGATAAGTGGCGGTAGTAACTTCGGGGTTTGTTCCTCGGCTTTACATACGGAAGCGTTGGCTTGCATGTATGGCCTACAGTGGGCGATTGATCATGATTTTCTGTCTCTCGCGGTTTTTACTGATTCCCATCTTCTGGTCTCCCTGCTTCGTGGGGAAGGCCAAGGTTATATCGCTTATATTTGGCTCATTCGGAGGATTTTAGATCTTGCCTCTAGGTTTCGGGTTTGTCGTATTCATAAGGCGGATCGCCAGCGCGTCCACAGAGCTCATCTAATCGCTGGGGAAGCAGCAGCTCACTCTATTTGCTTTAGTATTAATATGTAATTTGTAGTTTGTATCCTTTGTCAAAAAAAAAAAAAATCTTAAATTACTATTTTTTTGTTTTCAATTCTCAAATTTCATTTGTTAATTTTTTCTTAAATGGCGATGAAAATTTAAATTCAAAATTAATATATAAATCTAATTTTTCATTGGTCGAAATATTACTTTTGCTTATGTGGCGTGCGATGCACGAATTTTTATATACATTTTGTATATAAATATTTTTTTGGTGATCTCTTAATTTTTTTTCTTGCATTATAAGTTTTAAAATTTTGTATGAAAATATCATATCATCAAATATTTACATAAAACCATTAACATCAAATGATAATTTATATTTTTTAAATATCAAAATATAATTTTTAGTTTTTTAAATAATATAAATCCTAATGTCTAAAGATAATTGTTAGTTTTGTAACAAATAAAAATGATAAAATTTAGTGTTCTTAAATAATTAAAATCTTAATAAATTACTATTCGTCGTTTTTACTTACGTGACAAAAATTTAAAATTTCATTCGTCACTATAATTTATATTTTATAAATATCAAAATATAATTTTTAGTTTTTTAAATAATATAAATCCTAATGTCTAAAGATAATTGTTAGTTTTTTTTTTTTTTTTTGAGGAAATAATTGTTAGTTTTGTAACAAATAAAAATGATAAAATTTAGTGTTCTTAAATAATTAAAATCTTAATAAATTACTATTCGTCTTTTTTACCTACGTGGCAAAAATTTAAAATTTCATTCGTCACTTTTGTTTAAGTGGCGAGTGATTTTTTTAATTCTAAAATAAAATAGACATCTAATTTTTAATTGGTCGAAAATATACATTTTCTTATGTGGCGCTCCCAATACTCTCCAAAAATGCCTACTTTATTTATATATATAGATAGATTAGATTAGATTATATATATTAGATTAGATTAGATTAGGTTATTTTTTTTTATTTTTTTTATGTATTTTTATTTTTTTTATTTTTTTTGCAAAAAATAAAATAAAATACGTAGTAAAATCTAATACTACTACATACCTTCATTCAAAACCAAAAATTCTCCCTCAAAAAAAATGTCATTCAACCCTTTGAAGTCCTCTGCGACTTCAGCAGCAGTTTCATGGAAATCAGTACGCCCAAAACACTCTCACTTCTCTTAATCTCTCCTCAATTTCATCAATAGTTGAATAATCTCTCATTTTTCTTCAATTTCTTGGTATTTTATCAGACAGGCAAGCTTCAAAAAACACTATCTAGATGCATAGAAAAGCATGGCATTGGCCTACACTCAGGCAGATCAACCAAGGTCAAGTTATGGCCGGAGTTAGCCAAAAAAGGGAGGTATTTCAAAGTGGGTAATAATTTAATTGAAACTTCCATTGATTTTGTCAAAGAATCGCCTCTTTGTACTGCGCTTTGTAAAGATGGTGTTAAGGTTACTACTGTTGAGCATCTGCTTTCAGCTTTGGAAGCAATTGGGGTCGATAATTGCTGTATTGAGCTCACCCCCACTAACCCGGATGACCCTATTGTTGAGGTTGTTTTTTCGCTTTTCTGAATTTCGTTTATTGGTTATTGCTGTGAATTTTGCTCATCTTGATTGATAATTTGTTGGGATTATTTTTGTTGAATGATGTTTATGATAAATGTGATTTATTGGTGACATTATCTGATTTTGTAATTCTTGGAACAAATAGGGTTTTATGAATTAATAGAACATGATAGAGTATATAACCAACCCCGAGCTCAAACCATCAACTTAAGCTTTTGGTTGAGTCGATCCTAGGATAGATACAGAATGGTGATCGGAAAGTTTTAAACTTCATCGACTTAGACTTATCAAGAAGGGAAAGATTTCATTTTATTTGTTACAAATTGGGAATCTTTGCAGTCATGTTGTATGTCATTAGCGCGGAAGGAGCACATGTTAGAAAATCCCTTAATTGAATTGGTAAAAAGTAAGATTAAAGTTAAAGATCAATTTTTTAAAAGACATTGAATAATACTTTACTAACAAAAAAAAAAGGTTCAACTTTGTAAATATGCACACTTAATTTACAGGTCAATCTCAATTGCCATTTCTTTTTATTATGATGTAAACAGTTTTATCACAAATGGTTTAAATCGCTGTTTTACTAAAATGTTTGCTCTGGCTATGATGTAGATGCCTAATTAGGGAGTATGAAATTTGGTAGACATGAATATTGTCATAGATTAAAATTTGATGATCAGTGTGGTTATGGTATTAGGTACCCATCTTGGATGGTTCAGCAAGGGAGTGGGTGGAAGCAATCGAACAAACTGGCTTAGAGGATGCCACTGATGAAGAGGGCAATAGTTGTGATAAGATGGCACCATATGTCAATGTGCCTGTTCATATCAGGAGAAAAGACTCATTCATTGCAGCTTTTCCATCCCAGGAGATTCATATTAGTTACGGCATCAATTTTCCAGAGGTTCAATCTTTGCTAATTTCCTTTGCTTTGATATTTTGTTCATGGCATTTCATTGTCAAACAATTTGATTCTTGGTTTTATGTAGTTTTCTTTTCCGATTAGCACTTTATCTATGCTGCTTAACTGTTCTTGCTATCTTGGTATCCTATTAATGTGGTACATTTTCCAGTAAGACAAGGTTGAGCCTCATCAGGCCATGTGGCATTATGTTAACATAATATGTGATTGTTCTTTCCAAAAAAAAAAAAAAAAAAAAGCATAACATGTGATTGTTGGTTACTTCAAATTCCTCAGGAAAGGGCAAAAGGGACAATGCTAGGAGTTTAGTACAAATTCTGAGTAAGCTTGATTCGTGTTATAATAGTACTAATTGTGAAGGTAATTCCTCAAGATGATGTTGCAATGCAAAACAGTTGCACCTTTTTACAGATATGGACTATGCATCTGTTGGAGTGTTAAATAACCGATTCAAGTGTCATGCTTGAGAAAGAAGGAATACTTATTTGTGTGTTCTTGACCTTGGCCATGTTTGGTAAATGGCTTTTTGGTGGCTTTTCGGTTAGCTTTTGGCTTTTGGCTTTTTTATGAGGTCAAACAGCCAAAAAATGTGTTTGGTAATTGGCTTTTTAGCCTTTGAAAAAGCTAGCTTTTAAGCCAAAATGAAAAAGCTGCTTTGAGTAGCTTTTTTGTTGGCTTTTGGCTTGTTGGCCCACAAATTATCTAATAAACAGCCAAGTACCAACAATTAATTTACCAAACACTTTTATAAACAGCCAGCTTTAACCGCCAATTTCAAAAGCCATTATAAACAGCCAAACATACCAGCCGGTCAAACAAGCCAAGTGAACCAGCCAACAGCCACTTGCCAAACAAGGCCCTTATCTTGTGCAGTAGCTCTCTCTCTCTCTCTCTCTCTCTCTCTCTAACGACAGACATTGGAGTTCTAGTAATTAAAGGTGATTCAATAAACTCGATTGTATTTAACCTTTTAATTTTTATATGTGCTCGCTTTATATTTATTCGCATGGGTTGGTGTCATGAAGAGATTATGTAAACCATAAAATATCCTTAGAAATGATCCATGATTTGTAACCCTGGCTTGTAGTCCATTTTCTAAATTAATCTTCATGTGAACTCCATAATCACTCTTTTATTGACCATTTAACAAATGCCAAAACTGTAGATCTATTGTGCTTTTATAAGTATGTTTCATGTCATTACCCCCTTATGAAGTTATTGCAGATTTAGAAGCTCAATATATGTTAGGTACAATTTGACATTGCATGCTCATTTCATTTTTGTCACCAATATTTCCTCATGTGCTTTTAATAACCGCAATTTGTATTCTTGTCTCCTTTGAACTTCCAATCAGTTTGAAGACTTTGAACCCCATATTCTGCATCCTTCCTTTCTCCACTCTTTCCTTCAACGTACGCATAACCTGAAAACCAAAAATGTAAAGACACATAGAGAAATGATTAGTATATGGTATAGAATGACAAACAAGTTTTAAAAAATGGATATCAAAGATTATCACTTGTTGACTTGACTGTTTGTGAATCTATTGTATCTATTATCTTTCTTTTAGTGGATAGTGCATTGCTTACCAAGCTTGGTAGTGTAATAGATCAATCTAAGGAGGGGTAGTATAGGTATTCTACTAATATTAACTCACTAGGTTGATAGTCCTTAGTATAAATAGAGAGGGAAGGGAAGGAAATAGGTAGGCAGAATTTTAGAGTGATTTCTTAGGAGAGTTGTGACCTAAAGTCACTATTGGAGCTTTGTAGGCTAAACCTACTACTATCGTTTGTACGAAACCATTAATTTGTTTAATCAAATTTTTGAGTTTTCTCTTTCATTGTATTGTTATTATATTGAGGAATATCAGTCCATCACAGGTAGGTTACTATTTAGCACACATCTGCAGATCTTTAAAGAGGATATCTATAAAATAATAAGAAACTAGTTATGATTTTCAAATGTCTTTATTCCAATTTTGTTTCAAAAAATTTGAGATTAGAGCTAGTTAGCTTTCTGTAAAAAGTGTTTTGGAAACTAATTTCAATCACTTTGCCTTTGCAGGTACCTTCGATTGGTTGCCAGTGGTTTTTTTCAAAGATTTTTAGCGGGTCTTTCTATGCAACAGAGATAGCTCATGCCAGAACATTTTGTGTTCATGAAGAGGTAAATCTAAGAAATTTCTTCTTGGATAAAATTTTTGGCACCCCAATCATGTTTTAATGTTTGAAATAAGTATTCATACCTATAAACTAATGCTTATATGCTGAAACTTTTGTTACTATGGTGAAAAAAATGTTGATGATATTAAAGAAAGAATTAAACATCCTAATTTGAATTTTGTCAAATTGTGCCTCATTCAATGGAGTACCTTTATATAGTTTTTTATTGTTTGAATTATTTTCATTTTATTCTTCTTTTCCAGTTTATGTTTCTAACGACATACATTGGATTTTGTCCATGCGAATGCAACTTAATCTAGACCGGAAAAATGTATTAGGTTTTGAAGTTATTTTAAATCTCACTACAGGTGGAGAAGATGCGTGAAATGGGACTTATAAAAGGTGGTTCACTAGAGAATGCTATTGTTTGTAGGTAAGGCCTCTAATCTTACTGACACAAGTTAATTTACATGATGTAAAATTGTTTTGTGTCTGTGCATACTTTGATTGCGGTTTTGTTTATACTTCCACTATCCATCCCCAAATAATAGTCTCATTTCACTCATAAACATTGTCCCTAAATAAAAGTCTCATTTCACCTTCATCTATTATTTACTCGTAAAATTTGTCAGAAACAACCTTTCATTATGACCTTTTTGTGAGAAACAACCTTTTAATTATCTTTTGGCAACTTCAAACCTTCTGATCTTTCCTACCCCATCAGTTTTCAGCACATCGTTGAAAAGGAATTGGATGAAAATTACAAGAAAAAAAATTCAATATATAGATCTCAAACTGCCCCCCTCCCCCCTAGACTTTTATTTGGGGATGGATAGAGGAAGTATAAACAAAACTGCAACACTGCACATCAATTTTCAGCTCATCATTGAAAAGGAATTGGATGAAAATTACAAGAAAAACCCCCCCACGCGCTTTCCTTTCATTCTCCTTTAATTTGTTCACATTTCCTTCAAATTCTTCCTTTTTCAATTAGCCACCATGATTATATCAAAGTTTATCATATCCCTCCAAATTTATCAAATCAAAATATTGTTTATCTTACACACAATTCTGAAAACCAATGTATTCACTAAAATAAATCACATGATTTACATGGTCAAGGTTTGTTGATGCTTTCTTCGCAAATGATGACTCTTTGTTAAATAATTAAGATTGATTCATGGCCTTTAATGTGAATTGTACTATGGCAAGCATGAAGTCTTAATTTGAAAAAAAAAAAATGGATAGCATCCTCTTCTTTCCGATAGAATTGTGAGAATATTTAAGATTTGATTCTTTTCAAAATTAGGGGGAAAACCCTAATTTTCATTATGCATAAATTACAAATTTTAGAAGAAATTAGAAAAGGAAACATAACCTACCTTGGTCGAATTAAGATTTCTAGGACTAAAATATAAAAAATGGGAGGATTTGGACCTTCGAATTTGAGAGAAAAGAGAAGGGTGTTGCAAATGAAGAAGGAAGGAAGAAGAGAAGGCTGTGGAGGATTTGGAGGGAAAAGGGTGGAGATAGAAAATAACGAGCTCATGTGACTTGCACATGGTTGGTCAATGTCGGGAAACGCTTGGTCAAAGTCGGAAAAAAGGTAAGGTTGTGTCTTACAAAAATATGAAATAAGTTTAAGCTGCGAAGCTCGGACTCGGTCAAACACCCAGCCGTACCGGTGTCGACACGACGCGACCCGGGTGCGGACATGGAATCTGGGTCGGACCCTTGGGTGAAAAAGTGGACTCGTCAATTGTGATCCCTAGATCTAAAATAGAAGGACAGATTCACCAAACCAAGAGCCTAAACCTTAGGGTTTTTGATCGAAAGTGAAAAACGAGCAATTTAACACTTGCCGGATTTCTTTGTCGACGACGGAAAACTGGTTCTTTGAGTCTCGAGTTCTCGACCATTCAACTTCAAGTGCAATTTATGTTTTCTTTTATTTTCTTTTAACGTGTGTGGGGTAGGCAGTCTTGAAAATTGAATTAGTGAATGTGGGGGTGGGTGGAAAACTCACGTGATTTATAATCTTATTTACTGTTTCTTTCTTTTCTTTTTTACGGTACTACTTTTATATCTTTTTAAAAGCTGAATAATAAATACTACTCTAAACTTTTACTTTGACCTATTTTTACTTAACTTAAACTCTAATTTTATTTTTCCTTAAAAAAAAAAAAACTCTAATATTTTTTAAATTGCCGTGTCCCCGAGTCCAAATTTAAAATATGGACTCTTTTAAAACGTGTCCGAGGATCCTTAATTTTATAATATAACGAGACTGACACTTGGACTCATACCCGAGTCCGACACCCGTACCCGAGTGCGAGCTTCCTAGAGTTTAAGGTTTGAGTTGCCAAATTTTTTTAAAAAGTTTGTTTCTCACAAAACGCCATTATAAAATGTTTGTTTCTAACAAATTTATTCACTTTTAATCAACCAAACTCCACTATTTTACTCTTTTTTTAATTTTATTAACCTTCCTAAAAATATGTAAAAAAAAAAAAGGCAAACATGAATTTTTTTCAAGACAATGAGAGATTATAGTTTTTGTATGAATAAATTATTTAAGATCCAATGATTCCAATCATTACATAATGAGTTCAACATATTGCTTCTTGTAAGTATTATTGTTAATTAATATAATGGCAATTACTTTTGGATTTTTTGTCAAAAATTATCGATTAAACATACACTTATAAAAACAACAGTATTTTAATTAAAATTTTTATTTTGAAAAAAACTATCTTGAAGACTCATAATCCTCGAGTAACATTACCCATAAACGGCTTCCATCTAAACAACTCATTTGTGGGTCTCACTATTTGTTTCCATTTATTTTTTGTACATGAAAAGTCGATTCCACCCCTTACTTTGGGCGTGTTCGGCAAAATGTAGCGGTAGAGGTAGCTGTTAGCTGTAATGGTGGCTGCTAGCTGTATGTGTAGCTGTTAGCTGTGAAAATAAATAATTCAGTATGAGTGTTTGGTAAACTAGCTATTAGTTGTAAAATTAAAAAAAAATAGAAGAAAATTCAGCAGCTACCTAGCTTTTCACAAAAGTTAATAAAGTTAACTTTTCACAAAAGCTACTTCAACCACTAAACTCTACCCCCACCACTACATTCCCAAACACTCATTATTTTTTCCATGTAGTGGTTTGAATAAGTCAAACCACTAAAAGTTACTTAAAAGCTAGTGTCGAACAAGCCCTTTGTCTCCCCCACTATTCTCTTTCCTTTCTCATTGAAATTACTCACTTCTTTGGACATTTTTCGAGTTTCATTTTTAGGGAAGAAATTTCTCTTTTTTTTGCTTCAGTGCATCTTTCTATTATCCCTTTCTTAAAAACTTTGTAAATCGAAGGTCTTGGATTCAATCACCATTTCCATGGCAATATTTGTTTGTAGTGATTGAAATGGTTCCACCACATCTTAAAACAAGATGTGGTGCAATTGCGTTCATAATTATCTTCCACGTGAAATAGATTAAAAAAAAAAAAAAAAGCAAGCTAATGTGGATGACCAAATTCTATGGTTAGTCATTTGCGATGATTAGAGAAAACGAGCAAAACATGAGATTTCACAAGAAGTGCAAAGAAAAGTATTGGATGTGACAGGTTCAAACCTACGAAACCTTCTGCTCGCCTTAGTAGGAAGACTAATAGTTTCTAGTTTCGCAATAGCGTCCTAAAACCAATCTTCTTCATTCCTCTAGTAAGCATGCCATCAACTTGAGCATGCCATCAACTTGAAGAGTGTTATTCTTTTCTAAGGATTAAGAGGTGATGTTTGTAATTTATATACGATTTTATTCCCCGATTGAGACGAGTCGAGAAAAAAAATCGTATATAAAATACACACATCTAATTCCCCCAAGCCAAACCTTTGCATGTCCTTAAGCAAAGACTCATCAATGAACATAAAAATCAATATAACCCCAAATACAAAACAAACCAATAAAATAATTCTTGGCAAACCTTACAAATTTGTATCAAAGTCAACCAATTAAATCCATTTGACTACCAATGTTCTCTAACAATTGTCAAATGGGGAAAACCACAAGAACATATGGTATTCAAGAGTAGTGCTTACGCACTCTACTCTCATTTATGTGGCGAGTAAAAGATTTACTCGATCGCTCTTTGCCCACTCCTTTTTATGTGAACAATGCCCTCCCAAACTCATAATATTCGTGTGTTTAAAAAGACATGCACTCAACCTAATAGTCAACTCGACTTGGAATACATTAAATCATATCTTGCATTGATAAATAAGTACTTTCACATTGACACAACTCTATGCATTAAGGTTGGGAAGGTATTCAAAGCTTGTAATGTAAGGCTTAGGTAAAGGGTATGAAATACTTGGGAAAATGTGGGAGTTTAACTAAATTTTGAGGAGCCAAGTATCCTAATAAAAAATAATTAACGACTGTAAATCTCCAACTCAACTTCACAAGAATTCATCAAACAAATCAATCTACTTTTTCAATATTTTCCAACACTTACATTTGATCTATCAAAAGATTAAACATTACAGAACTGGAATGAAACAACTAAAATTTGAATATCTTTTCATTTACTTTTCTTTTTCTCTTTTGATTTTTTTTTCTTTCTTTCTTTCTTTTTGGGAACCTTCACTAGAAACACTTGAACATTGACAATTTATATTTTTGGAAGTTTGTGAACTCCATGTATCTTATTATATCCAATTAGGTTTTGTAGTTACTTTTGGAAACATTTCGTTGTTGTAGAGTTCTTGGAACTATTCATTGTAAAATTGCAAGTAGGATCATGTTGACAAAGTTCACTCATAGAAGAAACACGTATAGTTTCAAGTACAAAATGTGCCTCTATCATTGTGAAGATCCACTTTCCTCTATAGTTTCAAGCTGAAATGATGCTTTCTTTAATTCTCTTTCTTTTTTTTAATCTATAATTGACAAATTATGCTTGAATTCTGATTTTAAGGTAAGGCCTTTCTAAAAGTTTCCATAAAGCCTCACCTGTTTCTGTTTGACATTTGCTTCTGCCTTGTAATTTTGTATTATTCTGGTAATCTGAATTTATAATCAAAGAATGTGCGAAATTTTATTGTGCAGTGCCTCGAAAGGTTGGTTAAATTCACTACTGCATTTCCATGATGAGCCTTGTCGCCATAAAGTCTTGGATCTTATTGGTGATCTCTCTATCTTTGCAAAATCTGGAAATCAAGGGCTTCCTATAGCACATATTGTTGCTTATAAGGTGATTTTCTCTAATTTTTTGGTTTGATTTAGAAAGAGTCAAAATTCTTAATTATTATGACAACCAAAAGATGTAATAGATACACTTTCAGGTTTTAGCAAGATTATTTTAGGTTTTGTTCTTTTGTACATATTTTTGCTGAACGTTTTTGGGATTTCGAAGTAAACTTAATATTTGTTGAAATGAATTCATTTTTTTAAGAAAATTTGTCACAAAGAACCTTTTATGGTACTCCCTTCGTTCCTGAAAGTAGGTTATGTTTGTCATTTTAGGCGTTCCCCTTTAGGTTATGTTTCAATTTATTCCCACATTTAATAATTATGTTATCAAACATTTTTGTCATACAACTATCCCCATTTGTCAAACATTTATCAAACATTTATGTAATAGATACACTTTCAGGTTTTATATATATTTCATGCAACTATCCCCATTTGTCAAAGTATTTGCATACTCCCAATACAACTATTCCTATGTACAAAAAATATTTACCTACTTCGAATGCAAATATTCCTATTTTCAATGTAAATATAATGCCTTAATACTCCCTCTGTCTCATAATACAATGCCTCTTTTTCTTTTTGGGTAAACCAAAATATAAAGTCCTTTTCTATTTTAAGGTTGTACTTTTTGACATTAATACCCTCTTTTTGAAGAGTTGTAATTTTTTTCCTTCTCTTTTTTTTTTAATTTTTTTTTATACTTTTGCCATCAATTTCCAACATTTTCTCTCTCTCTATCTCTTAAATTATTCCCAACTACTTTTTCTTTCTCTCTATCTCTCTCTAACCACACATACACATATGTATTTCTAATCATTTATTTTAAGGAATCATAACTTTCTTAATTCTCTGTAAAATCCCAAATAGCCAATGTATTATGAGACGGAGGGAGTACTTTATATGTGCGACATCTACTCATTGCTTTGTAATATCTTATTTTTCTTATTAACCATGTAAGACCACCAAATGTGACCTTCTTTTGGGAATGGAGGGAGTACCATTTTTTGTCAAAAAGAACCTTTAAAACAAATTTGCAAAAAAAGACCTTATCTTATGTTTTGGTTGTGAAAATGGACCTTATGATGGATTTCAGCCACTGATTTTTTTGCTGGTGTTGACCGGCACATGACTTTCAAAATAGCCTATTTTCTCCTTTTTCTTTTTCCCACATTTTGGTTCTTAAGCAAAATTAATTGTTCAATTAAGGTTGTTAGGTCATTTTAGCTCTTAAGGGTCAAAATCGGCAAAAAGTACTATATAAATTTCAGTTTGCGTGTCAAAACACGTATGTATCAAGGCATTACTTGGGATGCAAAACAAAGCATTTTGGATAATTCTTTACCAATTTGGACCTCAAATTTTCCCTTTAAGAGCCAAAGTGTGGGGGAAAAAATATAGGCTTTTTTTGTACACGTGCCAGTCAATGTCGGAAAAATAGTCAATGGTCGGAATCCGTCATGCGGTCCCTTTTCACAACTAAGACACAATATAAGCTTCTATTTTGCCACCTTTTTAAAAAAAATTAATTACCATTAAAGGTCTTTTGTGCGAATTCTCCTTTTTTTAAAAAAAAACGTACAAAATAAAAACGATATATATTGAGTAGATTATTAATAATTTTTAACTTTTTTATCCGGTAAAGAGAGGGCGCGGGGGTGAGGGCAAGTGAGGGGGTAACTGCTTATCTTATCTTTCTTACTAAGTTTCCTAGTTTGAGATTTTTTGCTAGGAAGTTACTCTGTTTACTGAATAGTGTCTTGTTTGACACTGAGCAATTTCCAAATTTCAACTTCACGCATACTATTTCACATTAATATCTTAGTAAAATGGCAAAGGATTTGATATGCTTGGTCCACAATAATTACTAGGTAACTTCTACAAGACTATTAACGTCAGTTTCGTGGCCTGTGCTTGATGATGGGAAAGAAAAGGGTGTTGGTGACATCGAATGAGTCTTTTTAACTGTCAGTCTCTCTTGCTTCTTATTCCTCTCCCCTTCCACTAATTGCAAAAGGCTTTCTGCTTTTTTTGGACCGAAATTCCATGCCCGTGTATGGTATTGCATTTATGAAAGCAATATCTGAGGATGAAGGAGATCTAGTAATTCTAGTAGCAGGGATGGTGGTTTTTAATGATGGAAATCAAGGCACACTATGAAGTCCAATGGATACTACTGCCTACTGATGCAAAAAAGGCTTTTAAGCTTTCAATATGAGCTTGATGTGGGCTTGGTAATTATAATTGGTATTTTATGTGGATCAAACACAATCATGTAGATAGAATTTGATGGGGATATATGGTGGACTAGTGGTTATTGTAAATAGTGGAAATCAAACCAGCACCTGTGGTGTAGTACTGTGTTCAATCAAGTTTATTGAACATTTTATGCTATACTGTACTTGCCTGTTGTCTTTTTAAGTGCAATGTGGGGGTTTTCAAGCTTAGGTTAAGCCGTTTTCTGTAGTTTTCTTGTATCTTGACACAGAGCCAGTAGTTACAATTTAAACTGCCAAATCAATATCCTGATCATGCAGCCATGTTGCATGGAATTTATTCTTTTGTTTGCGTTATGTAAAAGATTACTTGGATACTGTCTACACTACTTCAGTAGTATGATTTTGCTTGTAAGAGAGCTCACGGTCGCATGTTTCTCTTTAAAACAGGCTGGCCATGCTTTGCATGCAGATCTTGTACGCCATCTAAGCTGACCTCTTTCCATTATAGAGGTAATTGATTTCTAAAAAAACACTTTCTCAATGATTTGCTGATGGATTTGGCTTTCATCCTGCAACTCCACTGACTCCATTTGATCAGAAACTGTAAAATGAAGAGCATATTGTTGGTATTAGCCCCAAGACTTTACCAAGTTAGTTGCCATCTGCAATTAATGGCATGTTTGATGTATTTTTAATCTTATTATTATAGGATCTCATCTAAAGCATGGATCAATAAACATCTTTGATACTAATAGAATGTTTAATGATTGTGGAGTAGCTACTGATTTGTTTATATTAACCATTGGATATATTTTGCCATTTGTCTCTTAACTTCAATGCAAACTTAATCCCAAACAAGTTCTCCCTCTCTCCAGAAGAAATCCAGATAATGGAAAAAGGAATGAAGGGGGGGTGAGTATGTTTTTTTTTTCCTCCCTACGACGGTAAGGATAAAGGACTCTATCGATATTTCAACGGTTCAACCCTCGTGATTTTTTAGGTCTTGTAATTGCTAGGGTGAGCAAAATACCAATTTACTTAAATTTGTAATCAGATGTTAAGAACTTACAATTTTGATACTGGATCATAGAGCATAGGTTTCAATTCCGGATTACAAAATCGAGAACTTGGTGCAACATGTCACGTTTCTGGTTTCTAAATATTTGGAACCAAGATCTATTAGGTACCATGCCAATGCCAATTTCAAAATTGGGCTTACAATGATGTTATATAAGCCTAGAATCTTAGAATCTAAATCGCATAAAATTGTTATCTAAAATCATAAATTAGAGAGTGAGGGATAACTCAAATGGTTAGAGTTTCCCTCTCAATTTCAGGAAATCCTGAGATTGATTCTCACCCCTGCCTTCGAGGATCTCTAAAAAAAAAAAAAAAAAAAAAAAAATCCAAATTCACTTTGTACTTTTCTTTTTTATAAATAAATTCCTAATGTATCAAAACAAAGAACTGTAAATGGGTAAAGTTTTACAAATATTAATATCCATACTATCAAATACTAAATGGTGTAAATTAGCGATCCAATTTCTTACGTAATTTGTTTGTCAGATATGCTGGACATTCCAATAATTGTGAAACTAAATTAGGAGGGAATGAATGTCTTTGATAATATGCTCGATCTGCCAAAATATCTTTTTATTGAGTTGATGACACATTCGAATGTTTTGAATACCACATGGAAGAGGTAGTTGGACTCCTATACGAAGAGAAGTAGCTTCTTTTATGAGTATTTAATGTTGCTAGAGTTGAACTTAGATGTCATCATGAGGATTCTGTTTTTATCTCAGATAATGACTCTGTTAGTTGGTGTAAAGCAAACTACCGAAGTTGAGTTTAAAGACATAATTGTTGGGGGTGCATCTTCCATGATATCAGAATGGATGATGGGGTATGATGATAAGGAGAAATATTAAAGGATCTCGTAATGGGAGATCTCATGGAAAAATAGGTATTTATGAGACTTTTGGTGCCGCTCATTGAAATCAAATAGCGGTCCATGGTAAATCCTAAAAATGTCAAATGCCTAATTGCGAAAGATAATAACATTCGGTTCTTTTTGAATAAATTTCTTTAAAGTGCTTGGTTATTCCTCAAGTACAAATGGCGTTTGGATTTTTTTTTTTTTTTTTTTTTTTTTTTTTTTTTTTTTTGCAAAAACTTTTGTATACATCGAGGTAACTTTTATTCATATCAGGATAACTTATATATAATAGGTAACTTTCATTCATTATAGGGTAAGTTTTATTCATATTAAAGTAACTTTAAAGCGGATGTACAAATATTTAACTGTACATCCGATTTATTTAAATGTTTGTCTTTTTTCAAAAGCGCTGTTTCAATTAAATTTGAAAATGAGGTTTGTATAATCCAATTATTTTTTGGTAAAATCACAAGTAAGAAGGTAGTATACTAGTATACCAACCAAGAGACAAGACAAAATCAAACAATTTGTTTTCGAGGGCAGTGAACAAAGCCATAACCCATAATCACATACATGCATGCTTTATTTCAATAAGCATTCTCAGGTAAAACAAGTATATTACAAATACGTACAACGTACATATAAATTTGCTGAAACATTTCTTTCTTTATATCTGCTACAATCAAATTTAAAAGGTAAGGATTGGTTCAAAATCACATGTATGGCTAACGACATATACATAAATTGCAGCTTAGTTACAACTTACAAGATAACATGGTCTAAATTAAGGCAGGTCGCAAAAGACTAGAGGACAAATTAGGGACTTCCCAAAGCTCTTAAAAAAGGCAAATTCTTGGGCGATGAGCCGATGCCCTTTTGAGGAATCCTCGTTAAACGGCAAAACTGACAGACCTGAATTACCAGATCCGAAATGACCCAACCTAAACTATACTCGGAATTGGATGTTCCAATACTGACCCAAACCAAAATCGAACCAACCTGAAAAAACAAGACAATAATTTATTTAATTTCCATCATAAATCAATGGTCTACCGAATATGACCAAGCTAAGTGATCCGTATTCACCTTTCCTGGCATTAGGGTGACGTTATGCACTAATTGCTCCAACACAAGGCCAAGAATTTACCCTCACCGACTTGATGTAATATTAGATCTATTGGTGACAGTCTGCTGTCTTCTGCTCTTAGCAGCTTGAATCTGATCTGCAAGTGAAACTGTGCTACGCCTCTGTTCAGCTTTTATGGATTCAATGTCGAATTTCTCCAGTGCTGACTGAAGATATATCATTGATCCAGGCTGACTGCAGGAAGGTCCATCTGTTGATTTCTTTCCAAATATCTGTAAGATTGGAGAAACACACAATATAAAATTTTCCACTTGGTAAACAAATAGTCAAATGTCTTAAGAACATAACTATATCATCTCCATAACTTAGTTATTTATTCCTCAGAGATTCCTTTTTACATATTTGTATTCTATGATCTTTCCAAGGAATAATGGAAGGGTTGCATTCTAAGATCAAAAAGAAAAAGAAGCAACAGTTTTGTTCCATAATAATTTTGATGTTTTCAAGCCTATACATGCATCATATCATTCAAGTGACTACCCTTTCAGAAACTATGATAGATTGAAAAAACACAAATGCAAATGACATAAATGTCCCAACCTGTTCTTCAGCAATCTCAAATTTTACTTCTTTTCTTCCTAGTCGGAGAAAAAGAGAAGATGTTGATAATAAAAGATACTAATATATATACCTTCACTAATCATCCTTGCGTAGGCTGAGGAAAAGGTAAAAACTTATATGAATATTAACAGCAGAAACAGTGTATAAATCACATTGGGAAGATCATCATGCATGGCCTTAATATGACTACGTGCAAATACATCAGCTATTTAAAACTGACAATCTACAGTAACACAAAATGTAAGTACAGCCATTTTACCTTTACTAATCTGTCTGTGGTGTTTAACTCCGTTGAAGCACCTAGCTCTTCCTTCTTTTCTCTTCTTTTTCTACGGCTCATCGCTTTCTTTTTGGCCCTCAGTTCATCTTTCTGTTTGAGCTCCAACTTCTTTTGTGCAACCCGAGTTACGTTTTGCACTCTTTTCTGTACCTTCTTCTCCGCTCGAATCCTTTTCATGTCCTTTACCTTGGCCTTTTCCTCAACCCATTGAAGTCGTCGAAAGGCTATTTCAACTTTCAGCCTCTCATAACTATCCCAATTGAGTAGTTCTTCACCAACTCCTCCCCGTCTAGCAGCCTCTGCAATGCTTTCAGCCCATGAGGTATAAAACTTTTCTTTTGCACGTTTTCTTTTCAAACGCTCCGCCCACAGTTTTTTGAGAGAAGAACCAATTTTCCTCTTGGAATGTTCACTGCAAGAAAGAAATACCCTACTGAGTGAGAAATTGAATAGTTATCAGCCAGAGTCATGCTCAAAAAATTAAGTATGCTGGCAACAAAAGTTGAGGCTCAACAAAATCTGTATAGCATGAAAAAATAAAGGGAAAAAAAGAAAAAAAATAGAACAAAATTGTTTAAGCTTTCAACTTCTAACTTCAATACAAGGGCTGATAGCTACAGAAAAGGCTAACAGCATAATCCAGATTCTAGTTCTTAATAATAAAAGGACTTTATTTATACAGAATACAACCTTTACGCCAAAGACGACTAGTTTTCCACTAATAATGGATAAAGTGAAAGACTATAACAGATAAAGTAATCTTGAAAAGGTTTATGAAGCATGTGAATGAGGCATAGTAACACAGAGAAACTCAAGAAGAAGCACGCTGCATGCAAGATATCTATGCTAGCGGGAGGTTACCTCAACTGCCCACTTACCCCACTACTTACTTTCCTAAATTTCAGGAGCACTTGCCACGTCATGCCACTAATAGATTGGTAGCTACAAAGTGGTTACCACCCCGCATTAATCGCCATCCACGATCTCCCACTCCTAAGGTCATGAAATCTTCGGGTACTTACATCACTAGTAACCGTCACTCATGATCCCCCACTAAGGAGGCATCCAAAGTAACCTCCTGATCGGCCTACCAACGTGGCCAATCAAGCTAACCATCAGTAGTTATCAAGCAAGGAAACCAACCCCATGATCCCCACCACTCATGGTGATCATGGTAACCACAAACCACTTGCCCATGTTAGCTTCCGCATCCCAGTCTTTTCAGACCTACTATGTTTAACCGCGATCCTTCACACTCCGGACCCAAGCCATGCCTCTTGAGCCATAGCCCCGTTGGCATCCCTATGCCTGAGTCTATGCCCATTTCTAAATTCGATAAGAGGGCTGAGTTATCTACAGAAAAGGCATTCTGCATAATCCAGATTCTTGTTCTTAATAACAAAAGGGTTTAATGAATACTGAATACAACCTTTACACCGAAGACAACGGGTTTTCCACTAAAAATGGCTTAAGTAAAAGACTATACCAACTAAATTGTATAATAGATAAAGTAATCTTGAAAAGGTCTATGAAGCATGTTGAGGCATAGTCACACAGAGAAACTTAAGAAGAAGCTCTAATCCAGAAAGTGCCATCATAAGTTTCCCATCACAGCACTACTACACGTAAATTAATAATACTCATTGCCCCGTCATATGTGCAACAAGAAGAACCTTCTTGTGTATCTTCCTATCTTGCATAAAGTTCTCTTTGGAAGGGTCAAAAACATGTTATCTCTTGAACTTAGACATAGATCTAAAAGTTCCCTTAAGCCCTTCTTTTCATTGTAAATGATAGCCTACACCGCAGCAAAATTTCTCTAGACTCTTGATCAACTTGAAAAATTCAATGATAAAGCTATGCAGCAAGTTAAGGAAAATTAATTAAAGCCCTGGCTAAGCTATTGTTGCATGAATTGATATTCCCCAAAAGTCAACAAGAGTATCTTCCACATCATCGCTTCAATGGAAAAATCATTGACAACTAATTCAAGGATCACAGAAAAACAAGGCTGATCGACACTTGATCAAATCTAATTTGAAATTAATGCAATCAAACAATGCAATTTTTCAAACTCTCAAACACTATACGTTGAGAACTAAAAAAGATACATGCTTCTGGAAATAGATAAAGTCGATAGTCACACAAAATTCCTAATGGTTGGCTGGTTGCATGAGTTTACATAAACAAGAACTAAAGAGCTTTAATATATTGGACTCAGAAAACACAGACAGTAAATAAAGCTTTACTTTGCCAAGAAATTCACTTGCATTTGGCTAAAGATTGTAGTTTACCAGGAAAATGGAATCTGGTGCTTCTTAGGCCAAGTAGACAAATAATATGCAGAAGGCTATGACGCTGAGTTCTAATTCTTGGTAAAAATGCTGACTCTTAACAAGTTAACATAGACATCATCCCTCAAGAAAAGAGGATTTACATTTAATCGAAAGTACAACTATTATTTCCATTTTTTTTAAAAGGAATAACATAAAGAAAACCATTAAATGTTACTTTTGAATGAGTTTTGACATAAGCTGCATCAGAGTTGATTATTATTTTATAAAAAAAAAAATAATAATAATAATAATAATAATTTTTTTAAAAAAAAAAAAAAGACTTCCCAGTATGTAGTAAAAGATAAAACAAAATAGAAAAAGAAAGTAAAATTAAAGCATAGAGTAGTTCCAAGCCTTATATTCCAGGCTTCTATAAACCACAGGAAAGGATGAAAAAAAAAAATCCTTACCAATGACAATTGTATCATAAAAGGAAAAGGAAAGGGCTTCAAATGGTCAATTACTTCATTCAAAGGCTCATAGCAGTGTAGCACCTCTCTAGATATCATCCCTTATCACTTTCACACATATATGCACAACATTAAACTGCATGCCCTTCAATATTCCCTCTATCAAGCTAATGGTAGACTGATACAAAGTACCTTAACCTATATATGTATTCTTTGCCAAATATAGTGCAACTTTGCTACGAAAATGAACCGCGGTGGTTGCGGACTTTCAAAAGGCAGAGGTAAAGGATTTACAGTTCAAGAGACACAACAACAAAACAAAAAAAATATATAAATAATAAATAATTATAAAAAAAATTTCTTATCATAGAGAGACTTATTTACTTTTCAGTACAACAACATAAAGAAACTTCTCAACCCTTCGTTACATTAGAACCTGACTTGATACCATATCTGATGATGATAGAGATATGACTTTGAAAATCCCAAACACACTTTTTCATTCTTGTCAAATCATTGTTTAAAGACATGAAGAGGAAGGACTACCTGTGCAAGCGTGGAGCTTCGGACATCTTCTTTCTTATCTGAAAGCGTGAATCAAAATAAAAGCACAAGTTACAATATCTATGAAAGATGAAGCTAAGAGCTAAGGATTAGCAAACAAAATAAAATCAATATCCTTTAAAGTTAATACTAGGGAACTGAAGGGATGCTTCATGCAGAGTATCACATACAGGGTCTGATAGTGACATTCCAAGCCTTAACCGGCTAAACCACATAGAACATAAATAGAATTGGACAGCAAAGTGGTTAAAAGAAATTGAATGTTTCTTACTTCACTTCACCTTGGGGTCTCTTAAGGCTTCAAGGGTTCTTTCCTTAATCCGTGCACAAGTCTCTGCACCAATTTCACAAAAATCAGCAAAGAACACAAGTCATGGAGGTCAACTCCAGATGTTATGCAACATTTACCAGGGCTATGCTTCCTGCCTTTATTCCAGGGAACTTTTCCTTTGTTTGCTAAGCCTATTCTCCGCCTCCGTAGAGTTTCTGCGCTACAAGTCTCTGCACGTTCAGAATTACGGCCAGCAATTCCTCCAACTTCACCCCAAACCTCATTGCCATGTGAACTTGGATGATTATCCGGTTCAGAATGCAGATCAGAGGACCCACATACCGCAGCAGCGACTACTCCTACAGGTTGCAGTCTGCTGACTGTGCTTGAGATGGCTAAGGGCATAAATGAACACCTTAGAGGTTTGGTAAGGTGAAAGAACTTCCCCGTCGATTGATGATTAAAATATTCTATTGCAGTATGAATAGATGGCCACAGATGGACACAGTCCATTTTGCGAAGTGGTTTCCTTAAAAGTGCCCTGGTCAGAATAAAAAAAAAAAAGGCAGTTAAGGGCCATTTTCTTACACTTTTCACACCAACATTTAACTTTAAAATGGTAATCAATGAGAGGAAAATTTGCTTGCTTCTACCATATAAAAACTTCATACCCATTACATTCAGGCCCGTCCCTGAGGCAGGGCAGGAGGGGAGGCAGCCCTGTGCCCAGGGAAAAGAGCTCTGATTTCATAGTTAAGTCCTAACATTAAAGTGTTGTACAATACGTTAGCAACCAAATTTGATTCATAATTATAGGGATATTTGATTCAATTATCGATTTCATAATTTCAGAGATATTTGATATGATGATAACAAATACAAACAACTTACCTCAGAAGTTGCTTCAATGGGGGATACAAAAAGTAGATTCAATAGAGAGCGCCAACTGCGCTTCAATGGAGAACGTTGAGTACTTGAGTGCGCTTCAATGGATATCTCACTAATCTGAGAGAGAGCAATTCTATGGATCCCTTATGACCCGTCATCCGTCAAGGCCGTCACAATTATTAAAGGGATAGATCCGTCTAATAATAATAAGTAAATGGGTTGAGTCTCTATAGGATCGACCAAGGATATCGTAGACCTTTTTAAGGGTTTAGAGAAAACCTGTTTTAAAAAGTAACGGAATATGAAGTGTTAGTTTAAAATTTACACTTCTTGCGTGCCATAGCTAGTCATATTCGGAATCTCTTTCTGTTTAACCTTGCATTACAAATTTAATGATTGGCAACATAATGAAATAAAATATATAAATATATATTTAGGGGTATCAATGTCCCACACATTAATCTTAAGAGTTAAAAATGAAGAGGTAATAATCATAATGAGGGTAAATAAGTAAATAAACATTTTAAATGGTATAATTATCCAAACACTATTCATTAAAAATACTTGTACATATTAATGAGGGTATGTATGTAAATACACATTTTGAATGGTATAACAGACATAACATTATTCATAAGAATAATCTTGTACTTTTTATAAGGTAGGGATTATCATCACACACCAAAGCTTGTATAATTTGTCTTAATTTTTTTTTTAAAATAATTGTATAAATTGTTTGTAAGTTTTTTTGTTTTTAATTTGAAAACGACTAAAATTACATAAATTAAATTGAGTTTACAACAAACGAAAGGAAAGTATGGTAACATAAGTCAATCACAATTTATCATGTGTTTAGGATGAGTTTTCCTCAACGAAATGTGGTTAGGATGACTGTTTTGTCATGGCCATTATGGCAAACTAATAGTGTCGTGTGAAGTGTGAACTATGCAATTGTATAGGTAGTGTTAACTTTGCGGTTTTAACATCAATTGACGGGCACCTACATTTTATTATAAATGCAGTTGTAGACTAGCAAGTGTAGAATTCACTTAGTTAATTGTATGAGTTGGTTAGTGTTCTGTGTAAAACAGAAATTTTTAGTGAATAACTTTGGAAGTGACAGCTTTAATATCCTATATAATCAGATGATATTACCCCCTCGCTTTACAACAAACCATGAAACACTAGTAAAATTAAAAGAAGAAAAAATTCTAGAATATCCTATATAATAAGATGATAGGAACTAGGGTCATACAAACGCTTCCTCATTGCCTCATTCACCACCATATTATCACTCTCGATCTCAATGCAACTCATACTCTTGTGTCTTGCAATCTTCATGTCCTAAAATACCGCTTTCACCTCTGCAAACTTAGTCTCTCATTATTCACTCCACTACACCGTAGCTCCCCAAAGCACCACCCCTCACTATACCCGCAAACTGCACCCAGCCCCATCTCCCCCAAAACTCAGCATCAACAATAATTTTAATCACATCAGATGCCGAAGGAGACCCGCCCACAAAGACACTCTTTACACCCATCAATTCCCCTTGTTATTCAACTTTCCCACCTCATGCCCCTTCATATTAATCTTCAAAGCATAGGCAGCAATTTGTTCAACATTTGGATTTTCACCCTCAATCATTCATTTGTTCCTTGCGCCCCACATAGCCCAACACATGGTAATTAAACTCACTATTTCCTACCCAAACCAAAACAGTGCTCCCACCAGTCACTCATACTACAAAGAGAGTGAGACAAAACACAGAATAATTGCACTTACTCCAAATTGTTTGGGATAAACTGCAATCTTGACGCATGTATGACAAATTCTTCTTCTCTTTAGCAAACACCACAAGCTAGTAGCCAGGGCACAAACTAGCTACAAAAGAAATTAGCTTTATAATTTTATGAAACCTAAAAAAGCTAATTTGCTAATTAGCTTACTATTGGAATTGCTCTAATACTACATCAATTTATTTAATTGGATACATTTTAACTTTACATCCTAGTGTCCCAACCAGTCTAGCAAACACCCACCCAAACCTTAACTCTAACTCTCGAACCCCACTTATGTGGCGAACTCCCAACAAAAGCCTAACCCTTACTCTCATACCACACTTATGCGGCGAACTCTCACCTAGCCCCAACCTAGCTAATTCATCGAACCCACACAACTCTCACCCACCCTAGTCGGCACGAACCTATGACCACCTAGCCCTCCACACCAAACCCGACACCCTAGTCTTTTAAAAATTATTTATTATAATTAAAATTAAAATTAAAATTAATTTTTTGTATAAGTTAATATTAAGCTATATTTTATTTTTTAATTAAGATAATTCTTATTTAAATGAGAGTTCATTATAGTATAAGTCAAATGATGGCTTGTTTGACTGATCACAAGTAAAATCTAGTACTTAAAATATTTTATGGAATATAGACATCAATGTTACTTATTTTTTAATTTATTAACGTTGAATTAATATTAGAAGATCACCTAAAGTTTGACTAATTGTGGTTATTTTTTTTAATTATTTTATTGTATTATGTTATACTTTCCTTTCACTTATCATATATATGTATATGCATTTTTATTTTACACTAATATTTTCCATATGAAAATGACAAAAAAGGCAAAAAAAACAAAATGGTGCATTATCAAACCAAGAACGATTTTTTTTTAGTATGCAGTATCATTAAATATATAGTTATTGAAATATATACTTATGGATTATTGATTAGTTATTATTCATTGATGATTACTAGTTATTTATTTAAGTAAACGGAAATTTCACCAAATGCCCCTGAGTAATTTTTTTTTTCACCAAATACCCATCAAAACTTTTAAATTCACAAAATACTCCCGAGTTTAAGAAAAATTTCACCAAATTCCCTTAATGACTAACGGCGGTTAACACTGTTAGTCATTAATGACTAATATGCCACATGGCAGCCTCTAATTGGTTATTGTAATATTAGTTAATTAATTATTAAAAAAACTTTATTTAAAAATAAAAAATAAATTAAAAAAATACCCCACCACCCAAGACCCACCCCACCCCAAACGCCCTACCACCAACCCAGCCCCTGCCAGACGGCGCCGGCGGCGGTCGCCAGGTGCTAGCGATGGCATCCCCCACCCACGAACCCAGCCCCCTCTCCCGCCGTTTCCCCTCCCCTTAAACCCCTCCCTCCAAAACCCCTCTCCTTCGCGGCCGGCGTTCCAAACCCCCTCCCCAGCACCGGCGAACCTTTTTTGCCCTACCCCCCGCCATCCCCACCCTCTTTCCCCCCTAAACCACCAGCAAAAAAACCAAAAAATCCCCAAATCAAAACCCTAGATTTCGATTTGGGGTTTTTTCGATTAAGGGGTTTAAGGGGTTTTTGGGTGGAGGTTTAAGGTGGAAATGGCGTGGGAATGGCAGGGGGTGGGGCGAAAAAGGTTTGCTGACGCCGGGGAGGGGGTTTGGACGCCGACCACGAAGGAGGGGGGTTTTTCGAGGGATGGGGAGGGGTTTTAAGGGAGGATTACGAGTGTCGTGGGGTAAAGGGGTAGGGGAGGGGGTGTCAAGGGTGGGAGAGCTGGCCTCGCCGGCAGATAGGGACCACCGGTGCCGATTCCGGCTAGGGGTAGGGGGACCGCCGGCGCCCGCTGGCATTGGGTTGGTTTGGTAGGGGAGGGGGTGGCTGGGGGTAGGTATAATTTTTTTTATATGAATTAAATAATTTATTAAATTAATTGATTAATTAATTAAAAGAGAACCAATTGCAGCATGCCACGTGGCAAAATTAACCTTAATGACTAACGGCGGTTAATTTCGTTAGTCATTAAGGACATTTGGTGACATTTTTGTGAAACTTAAGTGTATACAGTGAATTTGAAAATTTGCATGGGTATATGGTGAATAACAAAATAACTCAGGGGTATTTGGTGAAATTTTCAAAAAATTATAAAAATATAATATTTAATTATAATATAAATCACAAAACAAGGTCAAAAGAAAAGTTGAATAGTGAAAATGTCCAAATAATGCAATCAAATAAAGAGAGAAAATATTCAACAAATTATATAAAATTATTTACGAATTAACAAATTACATAAGTATTTAATAATTATAAAAAACAAATGATTTTTTTAATAATCATTTTGTCCTGGGCCTCCAAATTGTTAAAATCGGCTCTGATTACATTTAAGCTTATAATCAATGACGTAAATTATATTATATACTGTAGGGAATCAAGCAATTCCACACTTGAGCCCCACTGTGATCATACACTTAAGCATGGTGGCGTCCAAGGGAAGGAATCTAGAGCAAAAGAGTCGCCAACAAGTTTTAGGAACATGTAAACCGTTCACAGGATGAAGGTTACACCCCTTAACGATCCAGGAGATCGTTAAAACCTATAGTTCTGGAACCATGACTGGAAGTTCGGGGATGAAGGTACAAATCCAACCTAAAAGTAGGCTTCTACTTTATTCTTCTCATTTTCATGTGCGTTTTCTGACTAACATGCAATCAAAAGGTTAACCCTAAACCTGTTTATCTATGTTGGTTGAATATTAATGCACAAACAAATCTATTATTGGCGATCACTTGATTAACCTAAACAAGATTATTTATTATCTTATTATGCGTGATTACAAGTACAAATTCCCTTTACACATGCATAAAAGGCGTGATCAAGCAATAGTGATAATAATATAATATCAAGCAACATAATAATCATCATAACAGTTATAATCAAAATAATATTAATCATGTTAAAGCATAATATTAATAGCAAGATCCTAGACATGATACTAACAAGATTAATAACAAACTCTAGCATGTCACTAAACAATAAAAATCAAAGTTTTAGCCCTAACATGATATTAGGAAAGAAATATGAAGCATCATAATAATCATACATGATATTAGAAACATTAATTAACCCTAAACATGATACTAGGAAGCAATAAAACATCCTAACATGATACTAGGAATCAAAATAATAATCTAAGCATGATTTCTATAATAATAAAACAATTAAATTACTTACTTTGATGCATTGTACCTCTTTCTAATAACAAAATACACGCGTTATTAACTTCAAGGAAATTATTAAAACAGTACAATTGAATTAAATAATTGAAATAGAGATTTGAGACCAAACCCTCGG